CTGTATGTCTGGATGTGTTTCTTCATGTGAATGTGTGTCTGTATGTGTATCTGTATGTGTATCTGTCTGATAGTATGAATATATCTGTGTGTCTGTATGTGAATGTGTGTCTGTATGTGCATCTGTGTGTCTGTATGTGAATGTGTCAAATTAAATCATGGTCCAGGCAGTCAAGAGTCACTTGTGCAGCAGATTTATTGGAAAAAATAGGACAAAAAGTGCAACATTTAGATTTCCAAAGAGATCTTTGTCAAGCTTGAGAAAGGTCTATGTGGAGAGGAAACGTTGCACTTTTTGTCTAATTTTTCCAATAAATCTGCTGCACAAGTGACCCTGGAGTGCCCTGACAATAATTTCGCTTGACTATTGCAGTGGGAGAAGATCATGACAATCATGAAAATATTTATGAAAAACAATGGTATTCAGGGAAGAATTACGAGCAAACACCCAAAATTTACAGATTTTACTATTAACATGACGTAAAGTCATGATTTTATTAATGACACGGAGGCGAGTATTATGCTGCACTCTTTCTTTATTTACCTCAGCAGCAAAGAAAAATAACATTAAATCAGTATAAAAGAAACCAGTGAATAACATGAGGTATATCTTCCTAGCAACAGCAACAGCCAATCAGCATCCTCTTTATAGCATAATAGGCAGTGTCCAGTATACTACTTCCTCTTTCTTGCGATCCCGAACAAGGACAACAAATCCAAATAAAAAGTGGGCTCCAATTAGAAGGTATACGAGCCTTAAACTGGATCTAGAAGTCAAGCTGGAAGAGAAAAGAGAATATGGTAATATCCAAGTATAAAACTGGATTTATGCATAAATTCGCATTACATGAAATATCAGATATATATATATATACACATAACATGAAATTCAGTTTAGTCAAACCTTAAGCTCTTGACAGTCATTAACAAGGATAAAACCCAGTAATCAAAAAAGACTTACCGTGAAGTCAACTTACCCAGAGAAGACCAAATCTCCAGGGATGGGAGGGAGGGATAATACTCGCCTCCGTGTCATTAATAAAATCATGACTTTACGTCATGTTAATAGTAAAATCTGTAAATTTTATTAAGACACGGAGGCTCCTATTATGCTAGTTCAAAGCTGTGAAATTATGTCTCCTGTGAAGTGTTGAATAGGTCTAAAGTAGAAATCATGGAATGTAGACTCTGAAGACCAGCCGCTCTCATAATATCCTCCAAGTGACAACCAATCGAGGAAGCCTTAGAAGCCATTGCCCTACGAACCGAATGAGGCACTGACACATAGGTATCAATACCTGCTAGAGACATAACGTATTTGACCCACCAGGCTAGAGTAGACACCGGAAGATGCGACTTTTGGAAGAGTTCCTGTTTCAAAGGATTCTGTAACGTAGTAGAACGATGTTCACACACCCATTAGTATGCAACAGGGCAAAGGAGAGATCTATCAGGGAAAACTGGGTAAGATAGATTTTAGAGGAGGTTTTTGTCCTCCGTGAAATGTCAAAGAGGACACCTTCTGGAGTAAAGGAACGAGCAACCACCTCACGAGCTCGTACGTCAGAAAAACCTCTTGCAAGAAAAATAAATAAAAAATTCAAGACAATAGAGACGTCCCACAAGACAGAGTATCGTGGTAAGGGTGAATGAGCAAACCATATTCCTCAGAGAAGTCAATATATGACAGGATGTCAACCGACAGGCGTCCAATCAAAACTTTGATGGCCAGCAGAAATGGACGATCGTTAAGGTCCACAGTGCGATAGGCTTTACCTTCATCATAGAAGTCAGAAAAATGGAGGACAGACATAAAAGGAGCCGATATGGGATTTAAATTTATTTTCATGCACCAACTATGCCATCTGCTCCAAGCAGATTTATAAGCCTGTCTCGTGTTGGGTGCACCCTTGATAGGTTGGGGAGTTGATTGCGAAACTCCCTTGACCGACCAAGGTTCCCTGAAATAGACTACACTATGAGATGCAAGAGACCTTGGAGAACAAGAGGATGAGGTACACCATCTGGATCCTGAAGAAGGCACTCGAGAGATGGAAGGTTGATAACCATCTCCTGAAGAAAAGAGAACTATGGTTGGGATGGCGATAGAGGAGCCACGATCAACAGGTGCCGGACTGGCGATGTAGATGGAAAGGCAAAAAAATCATAATTCCTTGGAGAAAACATTCATAGCCAATGCTATCGGATCTGGTCTCCAACTGAAAAAACGGGGAAGCTGAGCATTCAAACGAGAAGCAAAAAGATCTATTTCCAATAGACCCCATAGGTTCCAGATGTCTTGGAAGACCATGGAATCCAAGTGCCAGTCGCTGGAATCTCTGAGTTGGCGTGAATACCAGTCCGTCATAGTGTTGGAGAGACCTTGAATATATTCTGCCGTGACTGAAATGCCGTGTCTCAGGCAAAATTGCCAGCAATCACGAGGCATGTAGGTCAGAATTTTGTATTTTTTGTCTCCAAGTGATTGATGTAGCGGACTGCTGACACGTTGTCCATCTTCAGAAGGATAGCGCATTGGGCTTGAGTTGGGGAGAAACTATGGACTGCAAAGGAACCGGGTGTTCCAAACAATTGATGTGGAGTGTTGATTCCAGGTTTGATTATCTGCCCTTGGTGGAAATAGTTCTGCATTGAGCACCCCAACCGTGCAAACTTGTGTCGGATTTGATTATCAAATCTGGAGCTGTACAAAATATGGTGTGCTTATTCCAAGCTTCCATGTGAAGAAGCCACCATTGGCGTTCATTCTCTGCTTCTGAGTCCAGAGTTACCATATCTGTGTATGATGTGCTGCCCTTGAGATGAAGTTTGTAATCGTTGTAGGGCTCGATAGCCAAGAAGACCTGTAGAAATGGCCTGTATAGATGCCGCTAGAAGGCCTAACATTCTCAACAGTTGTTTGAGAGAGAGTTGAGAGGTTGCTAGTGTTCGGCTATCTCCTTCTTTATATTGGCTAATTTTGCCACCGGAGGGTGTAGAGTTTGAAGGGTAGAATCTACAATAATCCAATATAACCCAGAAATTGTATTTGTTGCGTGGGAACGATAATGGATTTCTCCCAATTGGTCAGGAAGCCTAGGTTCTCTAACAGAGTCAAAGTCCATGCAAGGTATGTCCGGATTAATTGAATAGACTGAGCCAGAATGAAAATGCCATCTAAATATATTATAAGATGTGAGCTTGGTGAAGCACCATGGAGCCGAAGACAGTCCGAATGGGAGGCACCTGAACCTCTATTTACTGCCCTACCATGTAAATTGCAGGAAGTTCTCGATCTTGATGTTGTACTGGGATAGGCACTCTGAGATATGCATCCTGCAGATCCAGTTTGGCCTTCCAATCTGCTGGTTGGAGAAGATCCCTTAAACAATGCTCTCCTTCCATCTTGGAAGTGCTGATATGCTCATAACTATTGAGCAGTCTCAAATTTATTACTGGACGGATACCTTTGCCTTTTTTGGGAAACAAGAAAAGGTTGCTCACGTAAACCAGGGTATGCGCCAGAATCTCTACAATTGATTGTCCACAGAGACAAGGTCTGTGTCTCATTGGGAAAAAACTATTTCCCTTGATGGGGAACATTGAACAAGTAGAGAAAGGAAGTCTATGCAATACCCTTTCACCGTGTGAAGAACCTAAGCATCTGATGAAATGAGGGATCATACATGGGAAAAATGTGTGAGCCTGCCCCCCACTATCAGTAAGAAAGAATGGAAATTGTGAAGACGTCTTAGGAGCACCTCTTAGGCCACTAACAATACAGGGTCGGCCACTTTGTGAGAAGGAGGTTGGTATAGTACATTGTTCAAAGAAATCGGCTCGGCAAGTATAAGAGCCTTGGTTCTGTCTAAAAGAACTTCTGTTCGTTTAGCAGTACAAAGGAGCCCAATTCTTTTACAAAGTTGTCCCCAAAGAGAAAACCTTTTGCCTGTGTTATCTGGCTCGTTTGGGCTCAATCTTGAGCAAGATCGATTTGTGGCGTTCTGTGACAACCGCATTGTTGGCGTTGCCAACTTAAATTACTCTCTGGATCTAACCACTTAAGATGGCGCAATCTAATTCTAGATCATCCTCCACTGCTTCAAAGATCTTGGCTGCTGAGCCCAAGATGCCCAGGATTTTATCCTGACAGTTTTGCAATGAAAATCTAAGCCTTTAGATCGCTTCCATCCTGTCTTACTCAGGAATTGAATGCTTTTAGGATTGACTGATAGCATTTAACATGAGTCATCAGGGACTGTTCGGCGTGGCCATTCAGCCCGCAATTTATTTCACTTTGCCTTCTCAAAAGGCTTGCGTACTCTGGATGCCAATATACTTGGCTACATGGTCTGAGGAGACCACTGGATGACATAGGTCGTCAGGTTCGAATAGGGGTTCACATTGAGTGTCCAAGATCCTATCGGTGTCCCTGAGTCTGCATAATCTACCTAAATCTTGGTAGGTTTAACAGGACGTGTATCCCAAACGGGATTAGCATCCTCTTCATCAGTAATTTCATAATCAGGATCAGAAATATCCTCTGAATCCTTCATATAGGACCCAGGGAACTCTTCCTCAATATCACTGAGCTCAGATTCAGAGTTCAGTTGGGCTTTTGCCCTTTTCCAGTCTAGTCGATTTTGCCTGACTAGTAGCTCTTTTGCGCGGTGGTAAATTAATCGCGCCATCCGTGACAGGTATGGAACTGTCCATCTCTATTGTTTTGGAGGAGTGTTTAGCCTTATATGAGGCCTTGCGGCCAGGCTGAAGCAGAGCAGGTGTGAGTACAGATACACCTCCATATAGTACTCAGGGAACTCCTCCTCAATATCATATAGTACTCAGGGAACTCCTCCTTAATATCCCTGAGCTCAGATTTAGAGTTCAATTGGGCTTTTGCCCTTTTTCAAAGTCTAGTCGATTTTGCCCGACTAGTAGCTCTTTCGCGTGGTGGTAAATTAATCACGCCATCCGTGACAGGTTTGGTACTGTCCATCTCTATTGTTTTGGAGGAGTGTTTAGCCTTATATGAGGCCTTGCGGCCAGGCTGAAGCAGCGCAGGTGTGAGTACAGGTACACCTCCATATAGAACTCGGTGAACTTCTCCTCAATATCACTGAACTTGGATTCAGAGTTTAATTGGGCTTTTGTCCTTTTCCAAAGTCTAGTCGATTTTGCCCGACTAGTAGCTCTTTTGTGTGGTGGTAAATTAATCGCGCCATCCATGACAGGTATGGTACTGTCCATCTCTATTGTTTTGGAGGAGTGTTTAGCCTTATATGAGGCCTTGCGGCCTAACATCAGGGCCTTGTCATTGCTTTTGCCATGGAAGTGTCAATTAAAGCCTGCATGTCAGCAGGATCAGTAAAGCAGAAATTCAGCCTCATCTCCAGAGATACCTGGAGAGGCTTCTACATTAATCTGCATGTTTGCTGTAGACCCAGAAGGCACAGAAAGATCCTGTCAGACTGCATCATAAATATACAAACAAACCTAAGGGGCTGAATAAAGCAAAATAATACCAAAAGTAAAGGGTTGAGTAACCCTCAAGTAAAAATAAATAACTAAACAGGATAAAGAAATGAAAGTACTCACAATAGTGAAAAAAAATAGCAATTGTAATATAAAAACAAAGGAGCTGCCCGGCTGCCACTACAACTAAACCCCAACTTGGATTTCTGGCAGTTGGTGGCAGAGCAGCAGCCAGAGAGATAAATTAAGGGAAAAAACAGCACAATGGCACTATTCAGGATATAAAGATCCTCAAAGACGTCCCTGAGCCCCAATTGATGGTAATCTTGGGGCCAGGGAGGTCAGAGGGGAAATACATTATCAAAGGATATATAATAAATCATATAACAGAATAAATCATATAACAGAATAAATCATATAACAGACGCAAATGAAGTAAATAAATCAAATTACGTTAAAATGAAGTAACTAAATATATGTATAAACATGAAAATATTATAATTAAAATGTAATAACTATAATAACTATATTAAGCACAGTAATGATATGAATAAAGTAAAAGATCCCACAGTTAAGAACTGTGGGACCCAGTGTCACTTAACTGAGGTAGCAGCAAAGAAAGAGGAAGTAGTATACTGGACACTGCCTATTATGCTATAAAGAGGATGCTGATTGGCTGTTGCTGTTGCTAGGAAGATATACCTCATGTTATTCACTGGTTTCTTTTATACTGATTTAATGTTATTTTTCTTTGCTGCTGAGGTAAATAAAGAAAGAGTGCAGCATAATAGGAGCCTCCGTGTCTTAATAAAATCAGTATTTTTGTGGATGTTATTGCATTGAGCTTGTCATTGGAGCTATTTGGTGTGATTCAACACTGTTATGTTTTATTCTCTGGTTCTTTAGAGAGATGGAAGATTTTAACAGACAATGTATCTTGCCTCACCTTTATGTCCCTGTATTATTTGCTTTAAACCTTTAAGGCATAATCTTGCTGAAATAAAAAAATAGATGCATTGATTGCATCATCCAAATAAGCACATGCTGGGCCCAATGTCCATCAGAAAGCATTGACACTGTCTCATCAAATTGTCAATTTCAAGTTTATAATGTCATTGCATGTTTGACATGGCATTTTTTACCAAGTAAATATTGTTAGGCTTCAGCAAAGCAATGTACCATGCAACATATGATTTTTATATTTTATTTTGACTGCAAAGTTAATACAAAAGTATAAATATTTTATACAAAGTTTCAGTCACTGAATATGAAAGTGCATTCCCTATCACAAAAAAATAACCAAAAAGATTGTTGTTGAACTGTTCTTATATATTCTACCCATATCTGCAGAAAGTCTTTAATTATGAGAGGCGAATTGCACTTCTATGCCCTGGTAGATGCAATAATGGATGCCCATGTGGTGTCACATTCACTAATAGTACTGATCCGTCCCAGGGCATCCACGACGCCCTGGAGGTCAGTCTACCTGTTACTGCTGTACCCCAGTCAGCATCCTATGAACCTCGAATCACGGCCAGGGAACTTGCAGGGATTGTTCTGGAATTCCAAGCTGGCAGCCACTGCAATAGAAGACTGATCTGCAGGTGAGAGCTTGGAGGAGGTGTGGCCTAGGGGTGGAGCCAGGACAATGATGCATCCAAGATGGGGCTGAGTCCCACAGTCAGTTACATTGACCTAAGCAGAGCACACCTTTTAGTCAATGCTTAGTGGTTTTGTTGCCTGCCTCAGAACTCCTTTTGTTTGTTTCCCTTTGTGTCCTGACCTTGCTGGTTTCCTGACTTTGACTGCTCTCTGAATTCTGCTGATTGCCGCCTGTCCTAACCTCTGGATCATCTAACTCTGATTTTTGCCTAACCCTTCCTCAGATACCTTTGCCATGGATTTTTCTGTTATTTTTATTAAAGCCCCCGTGCCATCACTGACCCGACAGAATCCTGTTCTTAAACTCAGGATCTTTTTAGATCATGCCTAAATATATATACGTATCAAAGCCAAAGTATTCTAAGATGTTTATTTCTGATTAATTATATCATAAAAACGGTTCAGCTGCATTTTTTTCTCTAAATGCTTCATTGTACGGTTTCTCTGTGGAACTGCTTAATAAATGAAAAAATAAATGTAAAAAAAAAAAAATCTTCCTAACTTAACAGTATGGATACTTTGTAACACAACATGCAATAGGTAATTAAGGAGAAAATCGAAATGAAAATCTGTATAATTAACAGACTGCGATCATAATTCTAAATTATCGACCTGTCAAGTTAAAGTCTAAATTCATTAGAAATTTTGAATAATTGCAGTATTGAGTGCAATTAATACAATAACTTCCAGTAATATCGGTCTGTAAGTCCCAATATTTCGCACTCTCGCTAGATAAAATAATAAAAATTGTGACTACTCTTATTTCAACAGCTTTTAAAAAAATCTTACTAAGTTATTTTAATCAATAAACTTCTTTTAAGTAAAAGCCATTTAATCTTATGACTTTTACATTAACCTTCCATTAAGTATTAGTGGAGAAGTTTAATGTACCTTAGTCAATAATGCTAATTCAGGAACTGTTGCATTACCTATAGAGAAATGAGTATTCATGTTATGTTAAAGTGCCTATCCTTAACGATTAGCCATTATATGTCAGGAAACTGATAATAAATTTGAAATATTCCACTGGAAAATGAATTATAATGTTGAAACTGAGTCCTTGGTACTATAATAATTCTGAAATTAGGTCATCTGCTTATTCTGGTCAGTGCCTTTTAAAGCAATGATATTGAAGTGATGGAGATACCCTTGGTGTACCTTTAACCTTACCCCATAGTTTCACTTCTGGTGGTTGATGAATTAGTCTAGTAAGTGAACTATATTGCACTGTAAAATATTAATCTTTTTCATAGTAGGAAACAATGGAAAAATTCTATTTTACTGTTTACATTTTATTGTATTCTGTTTATTTTTATATTGATATCTATTTTTACATACTTATATTTAAGAATCATGGAAATTCAAAAAAGTTTAAAACAAAATTAAAAAATATTCAAAAGTAGAGCTTTGTACAATTTTGTTGGATAAAATGCTTGTTTTATACCAATAAATGTACAAATAATGTTTATTTTTACAGTTGCTAATAGTTTTCCTTAATCAGATAATTTGCACTTGACTTTGAGGTTGTTAGAAGCACATTTAAGCTTACTGTATTACACTAGAATAATTACATTAAAATGGACACTATAAGTACCAAAGCAACTTTAGCTTAATGGAGTGGTTTTGGTATATAAATTATGCCCCTGCAGTCCAATTGCTCAATTCTCTGCAATTTAGGAGTTAATTTACTTTGTTTATGCAACCCTACCAACACATTCCCTGCACCCAAACGACTATTTCGCACATTTAACTCTCTTCTACGCCCTGCTGTTCCTCCTCCACCTGCTAACTTGACAGCCTCAGACTTTGCAACTCACTTCACTGACAAGATCTCTACAATCAGAGAGGAGATCTCTCATCTTTCTTCTTCCCCTTACGATACTTCCCCCAACTTCACTCCCTCTGCTGTTCTATGTTCATTTGCACCCGCTACAGTGGAAGAGGTTTCTGCTCTGCTCCAGTCCTCCCGCCCCACCACCTGCTCTCTAGATCCAGTTCCCTCGCATCTCATCCGTACTCTGTCTTCTTCTCTTTCGCCACCTCTCACTAAAATTCTCAATCTCTCTCTCTCCTCTGGTATATTTCCATTGCCCTTCAAACATGCAACTGTAACCCAAATTCTAAAGAAGCACAATCTTGACCCTAACTCCCCATCCAACTATCGTCCTATCTCGCTACTGCCTTTTGCATCCAAGATCCTTGAAAATATTGTGTATGCGAGATTGACAGACTTCCTCGAATCCAACTCTCTGCTAGACCTGCTTCAGTCTGGTTTCCGCGCTAAGCACTCTGTGGAAACGGCACTGACCAAAGTATCCAATGATCTACTCGCTACAAAATCTTGTGGTCACTACTCTATCCTAATTCTCATTGACCTGTCTGCGGCTTTTGATACTGTTGATCATCAACAGCTTCTTCTCATCCTCTGCGATATCGGTCTACAAGATATTGCACTCTCCTGGTGCTCCTCCTTCCTCTCCCAGCGCTCTTTCAGTGTTTCTTTCTCTGGCTCTGCGTCTCCTCCCCAAGTCCTCTCTGTTGGTGTCCCCCAAGGTTCAGTCCTTGGTCCCCTACTGTTCTCCATCTATACTGCCTCCCTTGGTAAACTCATTAGCTCCTTTGGCTTCCAATATCATTTCCATGCAGATGACATGCAAATCTACCTGTCCTCTCCTGATCTCTCCCCGTCCCACTTGACTAGTGTCTCTGATTGCCTCTCTGCTGTTTCTAACTGGATGGCTGCCCACTTCCTTAAACTAAACTTGACCAAAACTGAAATTCAGTTTTTTCCTCCAAGTCAACGGTGCTACCATCAGCTCCACCATGCAGGCTCGCTGCCTAGGTGTTCTCTTTGACTCCGACCTCTCCTTCAAGCCTCATGTTCAATCTATCACCAAATCCTGTCATTTCCATCTCAAAAACATTGCACTCATCTGCCCTTACTTAACGCCAGATGCGACTAAGGTGTTGGTCCATTCTACTGTCCTTTCTTGCCTTGACTACTGTAATCTGCTTCTCAGTGGTCTTACATGCTCTCAACTTGCACCATTACAGTCCATAATGAATGCGGCGGCAAGGCTCATCTTCCTGTCCGCCCGCACCTCCCATGCCTC